CTGATGATGAAGCTGAGGCTGTGTTAGTGGCCCTGGAGGCCCAAGAGGACCTTGGCTCTGGGGAGGACCTTCTAGCTGCTTCTGAGATAAAGGAAGAAACTACTGCTACTGAAGAGACAGCGCCAGAGGCTGCTGCTTCTGCTCCTGCTCCTGCTGAGCCTGAGGCTGCTATAGCAATTGTTGAGGCACTACCCCCGGCTGAAGAAGCTGCTCCTGTAGAAACTGTAGAGGCAGAAGCCCCTCCTGAGGTTGAAGCTCCTGTTGAGACTGCAAAAGAGGCCCCTGCTGTTGAATCATCAGCTGAAGCGGTGCAGGCAGAGGCCTCTGCCATCACTGAGGAGGTGGTTGCAGTGCCTGTCGCTGAACCGGTTATATCTGAGCCAACTGTGAACCCAGTTATTACGGAAGAGGCTTCAGCCGAGGCTGTGGGGGCGCCTGCTGAAGTGGCTGCACCTGCGCAGGCCTCAGCAGACAATTCTGAACCAGAGGCTGCTTTACCTGCACCAAGCGAAGCTTTAACAAAAACACCAGCTGAGTCTTCAGCACCAGCTGAAATTTCAGAACCAACTGAAGCTGCACCACCTGCTGAACCCTCGGTGCCTATTGAAGCTGCAGAGCCGGTAATAGACACAGAGATTGCTGCTGCAACTATCCCAGAGATGCCAGCGTTATCTTCTGTCAGAGATGAGACCAAAGCTGAGCCACAGCCTGCTGCCGAGGAGCCGACAGACCCTACTCCAGCTCCTGCTCCAGCAGAGGCACCCGGCACCGCAGAGGATGCCCCTGCTCCAGCTTTAGGAGTTGAACCTGCTGCTACTGAGCCGGTCCAGAATGCAGAGGTTCCAGCTCCTGCTCCAGCTGCTTCAGAAACCCCTTCTGGGGTAACCTCAGAAGCTCCACCAGCCTGTGTCACCCAAGAGTCCACTGCAGACAGTGTAGCAGCAGTGGAGGCTCCTGTGGTTGAGCCCACCCCTACAGAAACTGAAGCACCTTCAGCACCAGCCCCATCTACCGATCCAGCTCCTGAAGATTCACCAGGTGGTATGGACCATTAATGGCTCCAGATTACCTTTTCTTACTTACCTTTTCTTTCTTACTTGTCAAAACAGATTTTTGGCACAGTTTTGGCACAGTTCATACTCTGCAATTTGCCACGGCCACATGCCCTGCAGAGTAAAACTAATAAGAGCTGAAGGATTACAACTGGGTTTTAGAGGATGATAGCTGCCACTGAGCCTCTTGAGGGAGTTTATAATGACAGGTTTTCTTGTTGATTTATTTACTTGACTAAACACAGAGTTGTTTCACTGATTAACCTGTCATGCTAAATTTCACGTCAACCCATCATCCTGATGTTGGAGACAGTTTTTGGGTGGAGGTCAGGCGCAGCAGCATTATTGCCGGTTGAAATAGCTGCAGAACTCTATGCAAACATGTGATAGATGCTGAGCATGTAGGAACAAGCTCAGAGAAGGATGAAAAAGCTGAGCAGAAACAAACCTGGTAATGAGTAACAAGTGGACAAGAGTATGTTTCCATCCAAGTAAACAATTAACGGTCTGTCAGGTGGTCAAACACCAGATCTATCTTGTTGCAACACATTCGGCCAAAGCAAGAGACTTCTGGTAATTAAACACACATGTGGTTAATAACCCCAAACTCTCCATATTCTAATCAACCGTCCACACACTCCTCTGTGTACTAATGTGACTGCTTGGAGCTGACAGGATCAGCGGGCTATTGTTGGGCTGTGAGGCCGAACAGATAGTGCAGTGTGAGAAACAGAAAGCACACACACTCAGAAAGAGAAATGAAGGCTCGTCTTGAGAGTGTCAATTATTGCACAACAGCTCCAGTCAGGCAACTCTCACTCATTGTGCTCTGTTATGCACTGTCTACAGACCGATCATGCCCTGCTGCTTTCAATTATACGACTATTAAAACACACTGAAGTTCATCCTGCAAATTTGTGAAGAAAAATCATTTTAAGGGCTCATTTTGAAGGAAAAATCGAGTCAGCTTGATTTTGAATGCACGGTGATTTGCTCCACTCTAACAAGCAGGATTTTATACCTATACATTTCATTACAATGTGCAGTGACTGAGTTAAAACTTCAGAAAGTAAGCCTTTACATCTCTACACTTTCTCTACACTTTACTGGGTAACCTTGCATATTAAATCATAATGTGCACCTCCAGTTGTCACCAGCGCTTTGCAAGGCCTTGCACACACGATCTCTTTTTTGACCTTCACCCGACTCTTTATGTTCAGAGAACATGTTGTACTTTCAGGATAGAAACAAGCCTCCACGCAGCACGAGACGAATGGACTTCTGGCATGGAAGACGTACTGTACTGCATAATTTTTATGAGAATTTTTTGCTCGAGGCTATGTACTAGTTTCTGTGTTTCACGTTTATATATCCTGGTTGGGACTTCAACCTAACTGCACATGTAAGAATGAGAGGGGCTGTAAGGACAATAAAAGCACAAAAAAGCTGTTTATTTAATGGTTAAGAATTAGTTTTAGGGTAAGACACTAAGGTATGCATTATTTCACTGAATACCCTCCACAAGGATATAGAAGCAAATGTGTGTGTACATTGTAGTAACTTGTAAACGAGTTCAGAGGGACTCATGCTGCTTTGTATTGGTTATAAATTTGGCAGTTATAAATCCTCAGAGCCAGTCAGTTTTGACATTATCATAGTTAATGAAAATGCCATGCTAATGTTTGTGTCTACATATATATGCAGTGGAGTCTGCAAGCGAGGTGTCTCAGGATACAGAGGGTGAGAAAGCCAAAAAGGAGGACTGAGTTGGTAAGAGCACAGCCACAAACCAAACTATAATCCAGTGCAAACTCAGACTTTTCTCTGCAGTCAGTGCATACTTGTAAAAAATAGTCTCCTACAGGTGGACTGGATGCATTTTGGTAGAAAAAACAGAATTAAGTTGAATTCTGTTTATACTCAGTTACAAAGGTAAACTTGAAGAGTGAAAGTGTGAGTCAGATGCTGAAGTGCTGACATGTTTTTTTCTTTTCCTTTTAGAGAGAAAAGAATGCAACAAAACGCCCAAAGCTACCACTGTAAACCTACTGGAAGGAGGACAAGATGAAGTAAACAGAAGAATAAAACAACTGATTTTCAGTTTTGTCTCATCAGCACTCACCAAACTTTACACCACATTTCCTAATATTCACTGTGCCTTAAAAGCTTTCCTTAGAATCTTTCCCATATTTGTATATAAACCTTTTCAGGAGAGGAACGGGAGGAGTATGTGTTTTTTAATGGGAAATCAAGTCTCTGGATCCACGTACTACACATGTGGCCTGTGACAAGAGGGTGCAATCCTCTGTAAAATCTGTCAACTCTTGCTAGCAACTCTTTTGAGTTTCGAATGGCAGTGTGCTGAAATACAGGGAAGGATACTCGGTTATTTAAAGAAGCTGCTTCTGAGGAATACAGCTGTGAATAAAAAACTTAAAGAACTCAAAACTGACAAGAATACAAACCTGGAATGACACACACTGGCTAGGTGTACACTGTACTTAGGCTGTATTAAACTGATTTGTAATTGGTTGAATTTCTAGTTTATAATTCTGACATTAAACCATATATTTTTGTTAACTGTTTGCACATTAATTGCAGCCTTTCCAAAGGGGCTCATTTATTCAATAGGAATGACAGTAATAAGTGTTGAGTAACTCGGCACACATGGTTTCAATATTTCAACATTTTATTGGTTCACATTAAAAGTGTTTTGATTTGCTTAAATGAAAAGTGGGCAAAGATCACGTATGCAGAGGGTTAGCACTTATATATACTTTTATAATCAGTCGTTGGCGGGTTAAGGATACAGACGAGGCCATGTTGCTGTTCTGTGAAACCCTTCTGTGGTTGCTCCGTAGCTGGTGGGTGTTTGTGAACTTCTCTTTCTTAAAGTAATGAACCTTCCAACAAAAGGAACTTCGGGGTAACACTGATGTCATACGCTTGTCAGTTTTAGATTGAGGGCATTACACTGCATTGCCTAGTGGGCAGAATATGTAACTAATTAGTTCTACATGCTGAGTTTAAAAGTGTAAGGGCATTAGAAAATTACTGCAACCTCATAAGATGTGATGATGCTTTGGGAACAAATTTTGTTTTGATCTTTTTCATTTCACTTCTCACTCCCTGTAATATATTCATTTTCTCTGACCGTGTCTATGATTCTGCTAACCTGTTAGTGTACAGAATAAAGTTTTACTCACTAATACTCTGTCTCTGTAACTGAATTGTGACTGGAGATTATATTGGCTTTTAGTATATGGTGACCACAGTCTCTCCAAGACCTCAGTGCATACTGTAGTGTGTTTAGAGAAGCATACGTACTTAAAACCACTCAAGCATAAGACATCTGAACAGTCACAATACTCTGTTGCTGTATTAGAGTGTGGCGCTGGGGATAAAAGGCGCCCTGGTCCGACTACATCCTTTAAATGAATTCAGGCTTTGCATACGAGCTGCTCGCTGCTCTTCTTCCCCCCCCCCCCCAACACCGATATTTGACTCACCTGCTGACACACTGCACCATGCATGTAATGAAGCATGTGAACACGGAGTACCAGAATGAGAAGCTAAGTCTCTCTGAAAATAAAATGATTATTTTGGAATATTTAATACTTAGAATGCACATGAAGACTTGAACTGCTGTTTTAAAAATCAGTTTGCGTTGCGCAGTTCCAACAGGCTGAAGGTTTTTATTTAGCCCCAAAGTATACTGAGTGATTCAGACACATTAATCCAACAGGAGGAGTTAATCAAATCATATAGTTCTTTATGGGTTTGCAAGCCTGCAAATAAACAACCCATTCTGGCATGGGTTAACCCTGTTAAACAAACTCTGTTCATAGTTATTGCAGAATTGCTGAGGACTTTTTAGTGTACATGAGACAATGTGAGATTACAGTGATCATCTACAGGCGGTTTTCTTGACATTAAGAAGCAATTAAGGAAAATTAAAACCTTTTATTATTCAGTTATGCTCGATCATCTATCACCTGGTACAAAGAGAGAGGATACACTGTCATGATGACAACACAGGACGGTAGTGTAATCCAATCCAACAAACAAGCTTAGGTACTTCTCAGCTATTGTAAGTGAAATGTGAGCAGAGTGGATTTAAAATGCAGTGCTGTCTTCAAATACATCTCATCATTGTCAGTGAGGGAGGAGAAAGTGCTCCACACCTGACTGCTGTTAGTCTGCTAGGTGACCTGTGGCATGTTAAAACAGCGCTAAATCGCTGATGATACTAGACCTATAATTACATCAGTTTCACACTTTTCAGTGGTTTTAGCTCTTTCTAGTTTTTGCTTGTTTAATGTACTTGTTAGGAAGTGTCGGTCAGAGGGCCCAAAACAGCAATTGCTTCAATTTCAACCAGTCCACCCTGGAGAAAGAGACAGCATCAGTACGGTGAGAATTGTGGTTTTCTGTTGGGTTCAAAGCACAAAAGAATAACTGGATAAAAAGTCTTTGTCAAGTACTCACTCGAGGGAGAGCAGCGACCTGATAGGCAGCCCTGGCTGGGAAGTTGGCGCTAAAGACTAAAGAAAGCAGCTGAGTTAGGCCACCAACACATTTACACATACAGACTTTCAATGACTCACAGATACAGAATTTACAGAAGCTTACAGGACTGCAAAGCAGCCAATTAACTACTGGTACCTGGCATTTATAGTGTTGTCCTTGTCTGACATGCCTTTATATCAACTGATAAACCAAGCAAGCTCTTTATAGTGACTGTCAGAGTAGGAGAAACACAGGTGTGCGAGTACACAATCAGGGCTCTACGTCATCATCAGTCAGCTTGAACAAGCAGTTATTCATCTTATTAGTTACACTTTTGGATTTACATAAACCTGCAAATAGCACTGAATCAACAGAACATTTGTCTTTGTGACAATTTTAATCTGCACAACAATTTAACTATGTTCACACATATTAGACACAATATACATCAAATATCTAAAATTCACTGTATAATTATCATATATATTCACACAGTTTCATCAGTACAAAAACCAAAACAACACATTATTAGATGCACAATGGGAAATGTATTACAATGAAAAGCCGCAGCAATAATTAAGACACATTAATCAGTTACTACAGAGTGTCCTTGATTGTGCTGGGCACTGCACTACAAAGTTATCTCTGGTTATCTCTCTGTTATCTGGATTCACTGAACCTAACACTGAGTTAACCAAGGGTTTCCTGATCGAGGTATTTATTACTGATGCTATTAAAAAACTTTAGACACTCCTATTCTCAGAGGTCTGAGGGATCTTCAAGTAATGGTGAAACTATTTTCTGGAGACTTGACTGGTCAGTAGGTGGTGATTTCATACCTGTTGACCTCTAATATGGAAGCACAAGTTACCATGGCGATGTACCCTGGTAAGAAGTGACCACATTTGTAGTACAGAAAACCTGGGGTTAACCCCAAAGCTACCTGGATAAGATGAGTTCCTGTTTTGTAGTACAGGCCTCTGCTCAGGCAGCAGAATTTATGCCATTGTTGTTCTTGTCGGTTCATGTAACAGCAGCATAGCTGCACCCAACTTCAACCATAGCAAAAGCCTAATCAGCCAGAATAAAGTGAAAACACCTGTGACTCGGTGCAGGGCCTTTAAAGACAGAGGTGGACTGAAAGAATAATCTGATTTTGACTGTACTGATGTAATCACGGATAATGGACTCAACACAGAGTGCATCGACCTGGGTGCTTGGATCAGTTGATTGTAGGAGCAATACCTGATTTAACTGGCATTAGAAAAATGCCCAGTTATCTTTTCTACTTAAACAATGAAATGGATATGGGGGCTTTGTGAATAGACTTAAACTTTTTTTTAATTTAATCTATGGAATGTCAGATGTGGCAGTCTGTCGTCTGACATTTAGATTAAGATTAAGACCCGTTGGTGGGGGAAGCTCAGGTTTCACTCTGCTAAGTGACTCAGCAAATGTCAGCGTTCCCTGCGAGTGTTTCTGCCCCTGTGTTTCTGAATATTTATTTCATAATTCAACTTGCTCTGGAGTTTCCACAGCATATTTAGAATATAAAGAGGCAAATTCAAGCCCTAGTTGAGTTATTGTAAAGGCCTTCTGGGTGAATACATTACTGGAAAATTAAAGAGTCTATAAAATCTGCTTGTTATGCAGCAGCGCTGTACGTCGTCTGGACTGTGCTGACACCTGGTGGCTAACGTTGTATTGCAAAATGAAAGCCAACAGCAGCAGATAACGCCAAACACATACTGATACACGTTAATGACTGAATCATTGATACTCACATTGCTTGTACACATCATTGACACTGGTGAAGTCGTTCATATCGGCTAAGAGCACTGTGGTTTTGACAACTTCAGGAAGTAACAAGAAAAGAAAGAAAATAGTGCATGATCGGGTCTGTGGTTGAAAAGTTGAAAGAATTGTCCTGTGCACATGCAAAGAAAGGCAAGGCTCTCTCACCGTTGGTGTAACCACACCCAGCAGCCTTGAGTATTTCAGCCATATTCACCAGAGCCTGAAGAAACAGAAGTCATGTACACGATTGTGCAAAAGTAATTCTCACTTTGGGATGACTTTCAGATCCTCATTCAGCCTGCAGGAAGGATGCGTTAGACCAGTCTTAAATTTATTCTGCAGCAGAGAATTAAGGAATTAACCTGGAATTGGTCTCCCGCAGGAAAACTGGTGGGTTTTTTCAAAAGGCACTATTTTTAAAAGCATTGTCACTAGATTTTCTTTTAAATAATGGACTGCATTTATTCACACTGTAGCAGCCTCCCAATGGCTTGGTTGTGAGCTCAACTCCATTGCGATTATCTCAGCAGTTAGGAATTAGGAACATCTACTCATATCTGGATCGCTTTCAAGTGTCGCTGTACTCCATGTTCATGAATGAATGAAGGAATGAATCAGTGATGATGGGGATTCCAGTGTCACCTGTCTGGTTTGAGCCTGAACACCACCTTCCACCAGCTGTCCACTGGCAGGGTCCATTCCCAGCTGTCCTGAAATATACATGGTTCGATCCACCACCACTGCTTGGCTGGAAAACACACACAAACATGCAAAGACAAAGACTTAGCTACTCTGGGTTTATTTCATTCACAGTGTTAAATCTTATTGTCTTTTCTGCTGATCTTTGCTAAGTAAAGATTTACTAATAATGAAGGAAGTGAGGTTAAAAAAGTTGTATGTTTGCTTGACTATTATGTCACTTATCTCTCCATGTGTAGGGTTTTAACTGAGGGCTGTTTTTTGACATTTATTTCCTTTTGAATAATAGATTCATAAAATTGCATTTATGCTTCTTCCCTGTTTTAATAATATATACACAGCTTCTTTTCTCGATAAAGAGAACATCTCTTACCTTGAGAGTCTTGAAGTCATTTTCTGTGCCCTTAAACATACAGTGGGGCAAAAAAGTATTTAGTCAGCCACCGATTGTGCAAGTTCCCCCACTTAAAATGATGACAGAGGTCAGTAATTTGCACCAGAGGTACACTTCAACTGTGAGAGACAGAATGTGAAAAAAAATCCATGAATCACATGGTAGGATTTGTAAAGAATTTATTCGTAAATCAGGGTGGAAAATAAGTATTTGGTCACCTCAAACAAGGAAAATCTCTGGCTCTCACAGACCTGTAACGTCTTCTGTAAGAAGCTTTTCTGTCCCACTCGTTACCTGTATGAATGGCACCTGTTTGAACTCATCATCTGTATAAAAGACACCTGTCCACAGCCTCAAACAGTCAGACTCCAAACTCCGCCATGGCCAAGACCAAAGAGCTTTCGAAGGACACCAGGAAAAGTATTGTAGACCTGCACCAGACTGGGAAGAGTGAATCTACAATAGGCAAGCAGCTTGGTGTGAAAAAATCAACTGTGGGAGCAATCATCAGAAAATGGAAGACATACAAGACCACTGATAATCTCCCTCGATCTGGGGCTCCACGCAAGATCTCATCCCGTGGGGTCAAAATGATCATGAGAACGGTGAGCAAAGATCCCAGAACCACACGGGGGGACCTGGTGAATGACCTGCAGAGAGCTGGGACCAAAGTAACAAAGGTCACCATCAGTAACACACTACAACGGCAGGGAATCAAATCCCGCAGTGCCAGACGTGTTCCGCTGCTGAAGCCAGTGCATGTCCAGGCCCGTCTGAAGTTTGCCAGAGAGCACATGGATGATACAGCAGAGGATTGGGAGAATGTCATGTGGTCAGATGAAACCAAAGTAGAACTTTTTGGTATAAACTCAACTCGTCGTGTTTGGAGGAAGAAGAATACTGAGTTGCATCCCAAGAACACCATACCTACTGTGAAGCATGGGGGTGGAAACATCATGCTATGGGGCTGTTTTTCTGCCAAGGGGACAGGACGACTGATCCGTGTTAAGGACAGAATGAATGGGGCCATGTATCGTGAGATTTTGAGCCAAAACCTCCTTCCATCAGTGAGAACTTTGAAGATGAAACGAGGCTGGGTCTTCCAACATGACAATGATCCAAAACACACCGCCCGGGCAACAAAGGAGTGGCTCCGTAAGAAGCATTTGAAAGTCCTGGAGTGGCCTAGCCAGTCTCCAGACCTCAACCCCATAGAAAATCTGTGGCGGGAGTTGAAAGTCCGTGTTGCTCGGCGACAGCCCCAAAACATCACTGCTCTCGAGAAGATCTGCATGGAGGAATGGGCCAAAATACCAGCTACTGTGTGTGCAAACCTGGTAAAGACCTATAGTAAACGTTTGACCTCTGTTATTGCCAACAAAGGTTATGTTACAAAGTATTGAGTTGTATTTTTGTTATTGACCAAATACTTATTTTCCACCCTGATTTACGAATAAATTCTTTACAAATCCTACCATGTGGATTCATGGATTTTTTTTTCACATTCTGTCTCTCACAGTTGAAGTGTACCTCTGGTGCAAATTACTGACCTCTGTCATCATTTTAGGTGGGGGAACTTGCACAATCGGTGGCTGACTAAATACTTTTTTGCCCCACTGTATATTTGGGACTGCTTACCTGCATTTGTACAGTAACTGTAAAATTAGAAGCATCATGTCTCAGAGTGATGCTGAAAATAATTCATGCATTTATTTCTTCTAGGTGGGACTATTGTAACTCATTATTATATGGATGTCCTAAAAACTACCTAAAAAGCCTTCAGTTGAGCATTGTATCAAAGTATCATATCACCCCAATAGAGCACTTTGCTCTCAGACGACTGGCATAACTGTGTTTCCTACAATGTTTCAAAGCACAGGTTTCAGCTTCCAGGCCCTTCTGTGGAACCAGCTCTCTGTGCAGATGTGAGCGACAGAAACCCTTTCTGCTTTTAGGATTAGGCTTAAACTTAAGTTAGAGCTGGATCAGGAGGGTCGTTTGATTGTTTGGGGTCTTCTCTGTATTATTTTAGGCTCTTTACCATTTATAACAATATAAAAAAAAAAACTCGACTGGTGTCGTGATTTGACGTCATATAAATAAAATTAAACTGAATTTAATTAATGGCAGACTAAAGTATTGAAAAACCTCGGGCACAGTTTGCTGTTTAACATTTTAGTGGTGTGTAGAGTTTAAAGTGCAACATCCAAAAATCTGAACTTTGCTCCCAAAAGCTCTGAGAGCATATGCTATCCCACCTCTCCCAGCAGCAATCTTATGGACGAAACAGTGAACTCAGTATAGCTGTATTACCAGATTAAGCAAAAAAAGTCGTGGTGTGTCATCAATGAATTGGCAGTCAGTGCTATTAACAGTCCAAATGTAATGTAGGTTGGTGCTGCAGCAGGTGTGTGCCAGCTGCAACTTTAACCTTAGGGCAATGATTCAAAGCTCTTCTCACCTGTACGGACCGATAGCAGCAGGAGCTTTAGCTGTGCTGATAATCCTCCTGATTAGTGCAGCCATTTCACTGGAAATCTATCGGCCCAAGTGAAAGAAGTAAGTTGTACAACAGAAGGCTGCAAGCAGAAAAAGCGCTGATGTCAGAAGGACGTCAGAGCTACTTTACCGTAAAAGACATATCACATGCGCAAACACATTTCCCTTTACAGATTTTAGTTCCAAAACTGGTCACTTCAGACATTTAAAAACTCAAGTAAGAGACAATAGTGACAACATATCACACAATCTTACGAAAACGTACCTTGGTTTTTATTAGATTTTTTTGTTGACGCGCGAATACTCTACAAAGCCCCCTGAACACGTCATATCCGGAAGCAAACAAGACCAGCACCAGCGTGAGGGAACCTCACATGGTTGCTAAACCTAAAACTAGAGGGTCCCTGCAGCTGGAACAGCGTTTCTGACACACATCACACTGGGGAACCTTGAGGTAACATTATGAAGTGTAATTCCTCTGTACGTTTGGTATAGAAATGTTTTTTCTTTGGTTTTGTTAGTTAAAACAACTCCCCAACTTTACGCCAGGTACCGTTGCTAGCAAGCCTGCGTTTTAGCTCAGCATTCAACTGTTTGGGTTAGAAGCTGCTCACATAGCGAGGTCTCAAGCGTCTTATTGTATCTTACAGAAAATGTCTGCGGCTAAAGTCAAAATGCGGGAGAAGAAGATGAGAAATCAGCCCGCCAGTGTGCAGTATCCATCTTCTTCATCTAACGTGGAGAGCAGCACGCAGAATGGAGCAGACGCCCCTGGCACCGGTACTCTTGCCTTCCCTGGTTATTTCACGTAGCCTATTACATATTAAACTGGAAGAACGGCCAGCGAGTCCCCTACAGTAATGCAGAACAAAGCACACATGTGTTTTCTTCCACGTATGAAATGGATTCTTGTATAAAAATTTACTGCCAAAATAGTTAAACCGGCAGATAATATGAACCACATAAGCAGAATAAAGCCAAGGTGAACTGAACAGTTTTGCTCTCCTTGGACTGTATCATACATACTTGAAAGATAAGGTCATACATGACTGTATCTGATATAGCTATACATTAAATATCAAACACAACAGAACATTCTTCCTGTCTAAGTAAATGGATATATGTCATATCTGATATTTCTGCTACTTGCCATGCAGTGCGTCCAGAAAGTATTCACAGTGTGTCAATTGTTCCATGTGTTGTCATGGAAGACTCATGAAAACATGTTAGTTGTGCCTTATTCCAAAATGGACTAAATTGTACATAACATATCTGATAATGACAAAGTGAAACAGCTTGCTTGAAATTCTTGCAAATCTACTAAAAACAAAGGTATAACTTGTAGATGAGTATTCACAGCCTTTGCCATGACACACAGTCAAGTTCAAGTGCATCCTGTTTCAACTGATCGACTGTTTTCATAGCTGATTGGAGCCCACCTGTGGTAAATTCACCACTCATCACCTGGCCAGTACCATCCCAACAGTGGAGCATGGTGGTGGCAGCATCATGCTGGGGGATGTTTGTACATGTGCAGCAGTGTACAGAGACATCCTTTATGCTGACCTGCTCCAGAGCGCTCTGGGCCTCAGACTGGGATGAAGGTTCATCTTCCAACAGGACAACAACCCTAAGCACACATCCAAGATAACAAACATAACTGATCCCCATCCAGCCTGATGGAGCTTGGGGGTCTGCAAAAAAGAATAAGAGAAACTGCCCAAAAATAGGTGTGCAGAGCTTAAACTCAAAAAGACTTCAACAAAGTCCTGAGCAAAGGCTTTGAGTACTTATGTACATGTATGCATTTATAGGACTGCATCTGTCTGTGAAGGTTCTCAATCATCCAGCTCATCATAGTCTAAGGAGCCTGGAAAGAAAAGCATCTGGACTTCTTTAAGTTTCTTGAAGACGTTTCATCTGAGAAGCTTTTTCAGTTCTAGGGTCAAATGGTGGAGAGTCCCAGATTTTAAGCCCTATGGGACTGCCCCCCCCAAGAGGGTCATGGACCCCCTATTAATCCTTTACGTAATCACATGAGCCAAGGTGTGAAAACGGGTGTGGGTCACAATCAGCCAAGGTTTTGGGTGAACCCACTGTGAAAACTAGCCCCACCCTGTCATGTGACTTACTGAGGTCAGATGACCAAGGATGTGAGTGGGCGTTAGGGCGTCTGGAAAGGGATCTCAAAACTGGATTATAGATGGCAGACAGTTGGTATCGTAAGGCACCGCCTCTGTCCAAAGGACATCTAGAGGGCATTTCGGGCATCTAGAGGACCCCCTTGTCCATGGTCACACTTAATTTGGGACAAATCAGAGCATTTATAGTGAAATAACCTGAGTTCAGGTCTAGCACCTTCTGTTTAACATAGCTTTTTCCAATTGACATTAATAACTTTATGCAAGAATTTATTTCATGTGTAAGAGACCTTCGAGAAAATGTTTACTGTTGCTTTGTTTTGTTGCACCTCTGGTAGGAGTATCTCAAGATTTTGTGAGTCTTCCCTATGGACTGTCTGTCACTTGGTTCTTATGATTTTTTTTTTTTTCTTTAAAACTTTTTTAAGTGCCCTCCAAATTTTTGTTTTCTTTCTAGTTCCTCATCTTCCTCTGTCATGTGTTGTTCATACAGTGAATATAGGGAACATATTTTTTCCAAGGGAGGAATCCCTTCTTATTAAGGTTGTTTCTATGATGAGATTCATGTGAAAACAGAATAAACAAGAGGACAAAGATGTTAGATGCCTTATTAAGTTGGGCAAGTTTTCACGAATTTGTAGAGGCAGACCACACTTGACTCACTCTCACTTTTGTTTGACCCCGACAGGAAAAAATGCTGATCCTCTCAAAGGTGGTCTTTCGGAGGTGCACCCCTCTACAGAAAGGCAGAAGAAAACTCCCCACCAGAGCGGATGGGTCCGTGGACACCATAAAGATGGTGGTGGCTACACTAAGGAGATGCCCAAATACGTCACTGGTAAAATCTCAACATTTTTTACATATTAAGTTTAATACAGAGCATAGACAGTCATGAAAGAAATGAATTGTAAAGGTATTCATGAACAGTTACGGTCCAGTGAATGACTTCCATCTCCATCTTTACCTTCCTCACTCAGCTGGAGCTTTTGCAAGGGCCAGGGCTGCAGAGGTGAGCGCCATGTTGAAAGCTGTCAGAAAGACCACAAGCAGCAGCCGTGTGTTTGAAGCTCTGCCCAAACACATGAGGAGACGAGCCATGAGCCACAACACCAAGCGGCTTCCTCACAGACTGAGAGAGGTGGCCAACAGAATGGTAAATTTCTGGACGTATTTTATTTTCAGCACTTGAATGTCTCACAAACACCTCCATACCCTTGTTTTATATACAAAGTCCTCCACTCTGAGTACCTGGGACATGTCCACTCACTTGTCCTTCCTCTGTCAGCGGGAGAAGGGCCTCCAGGCTGGCTCCAAAAAGAAGAAGGAGCAAGCAAAGAGCAAGAGCCGCAAGGCCCGGCGGCGTCACGGAAACCTGCTGCTGGAGTTCAACCGCCGTCAGCGGAAGAACATTTGGCTGGAAACGCACATTTGGCACGCCAAGCGCTTCCACATGGTTAAAAAGTGGGGTTACTGCCTCGGGGACAGGCCCACATACAAATGCTACCGGGCTTGCTACAGAGCAATGAGCAGCCACTGCCTCCTACAGGTAACCACCTGCTGTTCACACAGACTCTGTGAATAATTTGTTTTTACGTACTGTAATGTCGCTGTCTGGAACATCAGCTTACATTTTGCATTATCTCTGCTCAGGATCTCTCTTATTACTGCTGCATAGAGCTGCAGGGGGACGAAGACAAGCTTCTAGCTGCTCTTTCACAGCTGACCAGCAAGGAAGCAGGTAAGAAATAATTGAGATTTTCCGTTGGGCTTCTCTCTTTGCCTTCAGACAATAGTTCTGATGGCAAAAGAACCAGACGGGTTTTTATCAGCAACTCCTGCTAACTTACACATTTAGTTTAAGTAGTGTAGTTATATGCCTTTGATTTTCTTTTCTAGGCCCTACGTTTGCTGCAGCACTGTGTCTGTCAGGAAGGAGACAGGGCAGTGTCATGGTGTACAGAGCTGGACGGTACCCCTCACAGCCCCTGGGGCCCGTCACCTTCCTCTGGAGACCCCGCACACAGGGCTCAGTGCACAGGCAGCTGTGGATCTGGGCTCATCCCACTCTTAAGCAGGTGTGACTGGTTTTAGAGGTCTGCTGGTTGTAAATTATTTTTATGGTTGGCCTTTTGAATTTTTACTTGATATTATTACATTTACAAATGACTCCAGCAGGACTGTTAATTCCATATACGGTATCCTCCTTCCAGGATCTTCTGCCTGAATTACAAACTGTGTGTCAGTGTTGTGAGGCTGTATTACCTCCGGCTGCACCAGTAGAGGTTAATCCCACCTTGGAGGCAGAGTCAGAGCCTGAAAACACACCTGAGGCCAAGCCGGTACCTGGAACCAAGAGAAAGCGTAGCCGTAAAGATGCCACTGGACCCCCTGCAAAGAAGATCCTGGGTGATGGAACAAGATTACGCTCCACCCCAGTGAGCTGGAGGTCCAGCTCAAATGGAATAGTTATAAAGTTTGTGTCATTTCAGGAACAAACCGAAGCGTTTGATTGAACGTTTATTTAGGAGATTGGTTTTTACTGTAGATGTTGATGATTGTTTCATTCACTTTATTCTTTGTGTGTGTGCGTGCAGCGATCTCACAATGGAGATTGTACGCTATCGGCTGATTGGACCACAGTCCCATTCGGTGTTGGTAGACACTTTAGAAGCTGCTACAGGCTGTGATGTAAGAACTGTACTATGTTATTAACTTGAATTGTTCCCAAAAGGCGTTTTTCATTTTCACTTCATGCTTGAATTTGTTTTTCGTAAACAAGGAAGTGCCGAAATCCCAGACGTGCTCCCTCTGGTGGCCTCAGCACTGCTCAGATGAGGCCAAAATGACTCTGCATCAACAACAAGCTGATATCTTTAACATCCTGAAAGGTTTGTTTTTCCTCTACTTTTTAAAATCCCTGATTACTTATTTTGCTAGTTGATTGTGTGTCCA